TCTGGACGGCCAAATGGAAAGCAGTACCTAGAAAAACCACATCACGTTAGCATCAGACCAGGTGCACGCGAACAAGCCTTTCCAGCGCTATAAAGACGCTTTCCTAAATAAGCCCGAGCAATGATCTAGCCTCTCTGCCTGGAATGAGCAGTCTTTCTACAAGGTAATTTTATGAAAGGGTTTGATGGTGTGGACACTAAGGCAGCAAAACAGAATAAGGGTAGTAATAAGCTGATAGTTTTAGCAGTTTATTAAATCTGGGTGTCACCTGGAGAGTTTTTAGATCTCATAGGCAAGAGTTAAATATCATCATCTTGTAAAAATGGGAAAAAAAAGCCCCTCTGGAAAGGACACTTCCTTCCAGCCAGAGACCTGGTGATGCACCAGGCTGTAGGTAACCGGCTGAACCAGCCACCGTCCCTGCTGAGTGGCAGCTCCAAGGGGCTCCCGCAGGGACTCTGCATGCGAATGCACATCACCCGTCTGCGTGCAAACGTGCACCACCCGCCCAGGACCCGGCTGGTGTGCAGGGGGCAAGTCATTCCTTTTTGTGGGGGCAGTATCCATCCTTCCTATACTGTGACATCCCTGCAGAAAGCCCTGCCTGTCTCAGTACTAGGGAGAAGGGAAAATAAATGGGTAATAACTGAGCAGAGGGGAAACGGAAAAATAAGAGGACAAGGGATTTTTTTTGTTGTTGCTAAATTTTAGAAAAAATCTACAGCATTACCATGCCTATGGGAGCAAGATGGTTCGAAATATCCTTTAAAGGTTATATATTTAAAAATCACTCTCCAGCTATAAGCATGCTACAGTGCAAACTTCACTGCCCTGCGTAGGTCTGTGCTACTTATGCAAAATTCCCGTATGCATTCAAAACCTGCCTTTTGGCTTTGCTGCTTATAGGAGGGAGCTGGGAGGAAATCAGTCCTCTCACATTCAGCCTGGGCTCTCTGCCTTTACCTAAAATGCGTGATCTGATTCTCCAGAAGCAAACGAAGCCGCTCCTTGATCTCTTCGAAACGCTCTTTCTCGTCTACGGTCACAGTTCCTATCCCGTCAGGCCTGGAGGAGAAATGCCACCAATGACTCAGGCTCCGCCTCGCCACCCTGGCAGCTCATCCCCACCGCACATAGCGTGCTGCCCCTTCGGAAGGGGACGTCACCAACTATGAGACCTGGGACAGAGGATATGCCACGCCGAGACACGGGTGGGTGGTCACGGCAGCATGACTGCCGAGGTATCAAAAATAAAGAAATATCCTCTCTCAGAGTGGTCATCTAGATGTGGACCGCCTCCCCCCCCCCCTTATTTTTCCTGTGATAGAGAAGTTGGAAAAAGCAGAATCCCCTTTTAAATACAGGTATGTGACAGGGAGTGCAATGCCAGCTCTCATTGCAGGATTGGGCCCATTGCCGGCGAAATAGGGACTCAATTTCTGCAAGAAAATTCGGCTGCTAATTTAACACAATTCACAGTATAAAAGAGTATCAACAACAGGCGTATATTCAAACAGAATATAAAATTCTGCACTCCCTCATAACCACTGAATCACCCCATTATAGTGATCTCTTGAAGCTAACCACCTTCAATATATTCTGCCGAAATGTGCCTAGAGAGCGACATGCATTTTGTATTTGAAAATGCAATGTCTTTTCAGTCATTTCATTTTAATTTATAAAAATTAATACATATTGATACAATTTATCAAAGATTTTCTCGGACTACGTACTACACTTTTGTATTTCAGGAGTGCACAGGAGAGCATTGTGAGACACCCAGGTCCTGCTGCCTTGGGGTATTTCTCATCATTCACAGAGCACAGTGTGTAGGCGAACCCTGCTGAAGCTCTCCCGGGGCTGGATGATGCGGTGGTCCCTGCGCTCTTCCACCCCGGACCTCTGCCGATGCCAACCCATCCGAGAGCCGAAAGCAGCAATCCCCTCCTTCTCCCCCACACCCACACAGCAAAATACGCCGCGCAGCAGAATCCCAGGCGAGAGGAGAGAGCGAGTCTAATCCATCCACCAAAGGAATCGGCCAGGCAGACAATCAACGGCACCGCTTCCCATTGCCGGCGAGCAAAGTCTATGGATTTGTGTACTCCTGGGCCACTCTGCTGGCAGAGGCGCTCTTTAGGCAATGTAAGACGTCTTAAAATTGAACAAATGTTCTTACTTAAAGGCCTCCTCCAGTGTTCAGCTTAAGCTGCATAAATCCGCAGTACTAGACTGGTTTGGCTATACAAAAGACTTGGCAAGGGATTACAAAGCTTCTAATGAACCTCCTGTCAGGGGTTAATTGGTTGGCTTTATTTTCCTCTTAAAGAATCAAAGGCCCTAAACTTAAAAAAAAAAAGCTATAAAAAATTAAAAGCTATAAAATCTGTACAATCACTTCTCCTTGACCCTGCATTTAGTAAGCTCTTAATATCATAAATACGAACTCTGATATTCCAACACAGGTGAATAAACCATTAAAACATTTCGGAAGAGGAACTAGCAAAACTTACATGATATTCACTGCAACATTTTAAAGCTAAATATACATTTAATAAAACTTGCAACATGGACACAGAAAAAGACTCCAATACCAGGGGATGTATTTAAATTTAAACAGCATTTAATCAGAAATCTTCACTTGATTATTTGCCAAATTCAGTTGTGTATTAAGGAAAAAAAAAAGGAAAAAAGATTTAGGCTGAAACTTGGATAAAATGTCTCAGCTGGGGAACACATTTCATAAACAGTTTTGGAAGTATGGATCTGGTCTCATTAGTACCTAATTAGGACTGGTTATTTTGAAGAAATGAGCAAGCCACAAAAAAACCAAATTAGATATCTAGCAAAAATTAATGTCTGAACATGCTCAATATATTTTTATTCCAAAGTTCCATAAAATATTTAATATTCAGACAGAGATGTTCATGCCTTTTGTGATGCTGTGCACCTCGCAGCGCCCGATTTGCTCCCAAGCAGAAGAGCAGCTAATTCAAGGCAGGCCACAATAAATGCCGTACATTAAGGGGCAGGGTTGAAGCCATTTGACTTTTGGCATTCGGTTCCCCCCCCTGTACCCGTAACAGCTCACAGAGTGTCACTAGGTTAATTGTATCAGCGCTGACAAACGAGGTAGGAAAAGCTGCCTGCCCTGGCTGTGATTTGCTGATGGACTGGAAATGGTCTGAAAGTTACGTTACCCTTTGCTGGGTCAATAACCTCAACGAGCGAGCTTTAACGGCAGGATCCGACGGCTCGAGTTGGGTCGCAGCCCTTTCACATGAATCGCAGTTTCTCACTGTATTCAAAGGGCCTCGTTTTTGCCAGAACTGGTGATCATTAACATATCGTAACATATCACCATGTAACGACTCGTGTTGGACACCCAAAACGGGCTGACGTGACAGCATCAGTCGCGTCCCGGCTGGGTAGTGGCGGCTCTGGAAGCATCGCTTTGAAAACACTGACCCACACAAGGATGAAGGGTAGGCTCTGGAGAGTGAACCTCTGGCCAACGTGGCTCTCGCCCAAGTCACGACTCCCCAAGGGATGCTAACCCAACCACCGAGGTGCACGTAAACCATGTAGGCTTAACCTGTGGTCACCCCCTGGTCTTTGCCCTTCTCGGTGTCTTTGTGAGCCAGGAGGACACCAAACCTGGTGGCTCCGGCCACCGCTCCCTCCATGCAGGGCCTGCCGCGTGGTGTAAAGGCATGCTGCTCTCACATATCATGCACTGCAAACTTGAGACAATCTACAGGTCAGCTGTAGCCATTTTTGGAGCAGCACGGATGTCTGGAAGGGCCTGCCAACCGAGAGCCATCACCACGGCAAGGACTCCCTTTCTCACCCAGCTGTAGACTATATTGCATCTGACATGATGAGCATCTCTTGAATCTACCTTTCAAATTTTCGGCAAACCATTTTCTCACTGTCCTTCACAAAGTTGACATTTTCGGCAGCATGATAGGAAAGATGTCATGTCGGGTGCTTTTCAAGTTGTTGTCACAGTGGTTAGCACCAGTTCTGTCATCTTTGCTTTCCTCACAATCCCCCATCTTGAGCCATGTCACAAATAATAATACTTCCAATGTTTTTGTCAAATTTCAAATACTATAACCCAGCTGCACATCTTCAGATTTACTAGTTATGTTAATCTTTGTTGCTCATCTTCCCAGAAGCTGAAGCATTAGGAACTCATTAATTAGTGACAAATGCAGGATATACATAGAACTAGAAAAACACTACCCAAAGCCTTGCACTTAATTTATTAGCTCGATAATTTTGAAACCTAATTAAACATTCTACTCATATATACTTTGAAAATGTAATCTTTTTGAGGGAACATATTTATTTTCCCTTTTGCAAGAACACAAAGGGTATATAGCTTAGCATCGTTATAATTTAAGATTCACTTCTGTGCTCTAGACAATTCCAGTACACGGCTGATGGGGCTGAAAAAAATCCCCAGGAGAAGCTCAAGTCACACCAGCTCATTCTGATGCTTATTGGCAATTCTGTTTTCAGCAAAGGTCTCCAGCTCAACTTTGATACTTGCTATTTAAACTCACGGACAGAAGCACCGACTCCTCCAGCAAGCAGCCTTTCTGCAGCAAGGCTAGCTAAAATGCAGCTGGAGGAAATGGATGTTCTCACATGCAATCCACAACCACATCGTTATTACACTGAAGCAGTGGTGGGGAATGAGAGGAGAGCAAAAGGGTGAAAAAAAGTTCTGTGTGTACATGGCATATACAGAGGCACGAGGGACAAAATGGGTTTGGGTCTATGAATTCAGGTCAACAAACAACATAAACGTCTCCATCTGTGCGGAGCCACAATTTCATCCCATTCTCGATAGCTCCTGCTCACGGACACTTGAGGTGTATGGCAGAAGTTGTGGGCAGAGAGGGAAGCAGAAGGGCAAAAAAGGCAAGAAAAATAAATAAGGAGAAATTTAATTAGAAGTAAACAAGTTTCAGATCACTCCTTCTGCTGCAGATTCACTATGTTGGCTCTAAACTAGTAAATTCCCACTGTAAATATTTCACATGAAAAGTTTTAAATGCCGCTTTCCTAATCCCCCCTTGTTTTTAAGTTTTAAGCCACGAAAACAACAACATCAACAAAGCAGGTGGTGCAATTAAAAGAAAGGGTTGCAATTTAAACAGCAAAAATGATAGTCCTTGTTTAGCTTAGATGGTTTGTGCAAATTCTGGGGTTAATTATAAATTATAATTAGGACCTGTGATCCTAAGGCCACTGCTTTATTCTACAAGCCCCGCCTCCCCCCATGCCCTTTTCTAATTATACCCAGTGCCCCCAGGGCTAGTTATGCTGCTAAAACAAATATATCAAAATGATTTTTTAACAAAGACTAATATATGAAGCAATAGCATGCATTTGTATGCAATTATAAATATACAGTATAGCTTCAGTGGGTTAATCTCTTTGACATAAGCCTGTATGAAATACCATGGCGGCTTATAAATGAAAAGACATATCATCTTTTACACCTTTTATGTTTAACTTGTCTACACTTTTTTTACTGGGGAAAATATTGCTTACACGTAGCAAACAGATCTTTGCACGCACTGTGAGCCCTGGCATACAGAGCCAAGGAAAAAAAAACAATGTCAAAAACTGATGCAAATAATTTGATTTTTTAAGTAACAACTCAAATATAAAACACGTGCTGCCTTCAGCTCCCTTGCTGGTTGCCAGGTGCAGCACATATGAGCTATACAGTAAACATCGATGATTAGTGCCTTGGACGGCATGTGTCAGGATAGGCTTTCAAAGGATCCCTCGCAGGAAGACTTGCCTGCGCGAAGTCCCACCGCTTGCACGGGGACTGGCTTTGGTGACATGGGCAGGACCACAGCTGCCTGCCTGCTGCCTCCTACATCTCCCCAGCAAATCTGACCTGAAAGAGCCCACCTGTTTAGACCCCTTGAAAAAAGCTTATTCAGCAAACATGGATTTTTCCCAACTCCCCTTTCTTCCGGGAATTCACACCGTGCGCGAAATGCCAGTTGAAAGCCCTTTGTTCAGCCCAGCCCTCC